TAGCATACAAGGTAAGTAATCTTTGCTGAAAAGAAAAATCGGAAGGCGAACCTTTGCGAAGAAAATAAAAGTAACATGGTTTAATTTGCGGATCTGCAGAAAAAGTGCTAAAATACTACCAATAAGGCGATGTCGAGATCTGTCGTTAATAGAATTGGAAAAAAGCTTTGTTCCACTGCGATATATTCCTAAAACCCCGATATGCTGATGGATCAAGTGCAAGGTGTGCGGCACAAAGACAAAAGACCGATCAGCGACAAAGAAAGGAAGAGGCCAGTCCTTTGGACAATCAATTGAACACAGTCGATAAATCGGGTCGAGCGAATTGAAAGGGGGGTCGCGTGGGGGGACGCTAGCAAAAATAAACTATCGCCGATTATCCGGCCTCGTCTGTAAACGCCACCCTTTTCGCGCGGACATAGGAATTCCGCGCGCACGCTCTCGTTTCCCCCCGGCCGCGCCGCCGCGCTCATCCCTCGCCCACCCAAAACAAATTCGCGGCCATTTTTCTGTTCCGTGCCCCGCATATATTCCGGCGTTTCTCTCCTTCCGCGGAGGCGCGTGTTCCGTGCCGCGAAAAAGGCGCCGGGAGGCGGCAGTCGGTTGGTCAGTCCGCTTTCTGAACGTCGGACCGAGCCTGGTTACGGGATGAGGCGAGATGGGCGACGTGGCCGGCAGGAGGGCGGCCAGGGGGGAGGATAGTGGGTGGCAGGTACGAGGGTGTGAGTTCGTGGACGCGCGGCACGGTCGGTTCCAGGGTTCGCCGGCAATTTTTTCTCCTCGAGTTTAGCAAGGGAAATGACCTACGATATATTTCTAAGGGGTTTTTGCTGGTTGGTAAGCGGGTGAGACGCCGTTATCCACCCACCGGAGGGGCCACCGCATGCCTCCATCCCGCCCCCAACCGCCCCCTGCCTCCGGGGGTTACCGGACAATTTGCATTTCTCAACCATTAATCTAACCTTCGTCCAGCTCTTTTTGCCGGGAGACCGACTGCTCCTCCATCTCCTCGCATGTCCCACCTTCCACGTCCTCCTTCCTCCGGATCCCGGTGGTCGCGAGTCACTTTCCAGCCACCGCATTTCCACTCCGTAAACTCGGAAGAATGCCTACGGTGATTAAGAATCCGGTGCATGCGCGAAGAAAATTGAATGCACGTCGTAACCGAAAGAGACGTCGACCTTTCTCCATCCGCCGTTAATCCTTTCCTCGCCACCGACTTTCGCCGAATAACGCCGCCGAAATTAACAAACGCCCCGATTGTTGCTTACCGCATTGTTTGCACGGGCTAAGAGTCGGACGGCTATAGCTGGGCTACTAAATATGGGAAATGCGGGCCACGCACAGGCATGCGCCGGCATTAATAAAAGATAAACGTAGCGCACGTCGCTATCGCATAATTGTGGCTCAATCGACTCGAGTGTGGAAGGGAAGAGGTATGTATTTCTATCTGCGGAGCGAGAGCAAACGAATTTCCACGGGTAATTATCCCAGCCGTCGAAACGAAGGGAAATATTTTGACAATGTTCCAATCTATCGCAAATAACGCCGTCGAATTGTAACATCTCTCGCGGAATTGTAAAGTAGTTGGAGCGAGCCGCGCGCGGCACCACCGACCGCTTTTAAAACATTTCGCCGATGTAACGCAGCGCCGTAACATTTCATCGCGCGAATTATCCATGAAAATATTCAGTCTTTTGCCGTGAACCGTTAAATGGAATCCCAGATTTTAATAGTTGCCGTCGCGGGGCCGCGCCGGCCGTACCGCGCGAGCGGGTTGGGGGGGAGGGGGGGGGTCGGTGGCGGA